ACTATTGTAACCTTTCACCATATTTCTCCATACACATTATGTATCATTTATTCATCATATCTATCTACAGTAAGCCCTTTGCAGATGGTTTATTATTTTAATAGAAGATTTGATGCGAGATCGTCTCTGCCCTTCATGTTTATGGTGGCACATAATAGCATGTGAGAGTATATCATGAATCTCAGTCAGTAGAGATTGGACAGTTTGATTCTGATACTTTAGATATGTTTTAATATTTCACTGCTAAAGTGAAAAACATGATAAAAGAATTTGGAATTTCTTAATGTGGTATAAATATGACTGAATGATTGATTGTAATGAATCCATAAGAAAGACACAAGAAATTGGATAATAATAATAATGATAATAATAATAAGTGTGTGTGTGTGTGTGTGTGTGTGTGTGTGTGTGTGTGTGTGTGTGTGTGTGTGTGTGTGTGTGTGTGTGTGTTAAAAACCCAGTGTTTGTGGAATGCTGCATTGTTCCAAAGGTATGTTGTTTTGTCTGTGGTGCCTTAAAAATTTAGCAGTGTTTTTTCATTTCTCAAGTGCCTCTGTGATTGTGTGTGTGGCAAACAGCTCCTGGGACAGTCACTGGCTATGTTAGTGAGTAGATTCTTCATATTAATTACTTCCTTCTTCAAAGTGTTTCTTTATGCAGCACATAGACAGTGTAGTGTCGCATTCTTTTTTCTTTTTTTTTATGAAGACTCCTTAGATTTCAAGCAGCAAGTGAGATATTACAGACAATGGCATCATCATGTCATATTAGCATAGCCATACTCGTGCTGATGAGAAGTGAGTGTAATGATCTTACATGTTCTTGACCAGCACAATGTTACTCACCCCTAAAAAAAGCCCCCAATAAACCAGATGGTTAGCAAAGTGCTAACTACAGCATTCTGTTAGAGTTAACGAGGGGAAGTTCCCATCACATACAATACCTGTTTTCTGGTGGACGATGAACCGTAATGGTGCAGTGAATCTGTCAGTGATGTCCTCATGTCACGTTGTGGTTGATGTAACCTCTTTTCCTGATGATTCATATCTCTGTGCTCTAATCGCTTTGCTAAACCATGGTGCAGTGTCTATAGTCATTGTCCACTGCTGTTTACACTAGTCTCCTGTGAAGACCCTTTCCTCTGTCAAGTCATGTGTGTGCACAATGTCCAGTGTTCCAGTCTTGTAATTGTATTACTTGATCTCTTTGTACAAATCCAACAACATGGATAGTAATAAAAATGTGAAATACACTTGCATTTGGCTGTGTGTAGTTTTCTTGTTATCGGTGAATGAACAGCAGTCATGTGTCACATGTGGAGTGTATCCTCTGTCAAAGGGAGACAGAAATTGCACTAACAAATTTGCTTTAGTAATTAAGTTTGCTTTGACCATATTTGGAGGTAAAAAAAAGGTTCTGGGTTTTAAGTTTGTCCCTTGGGAGTTCATTGTATGTGGTGCAGCATGTACCGCTGCTACCTCACAGCTCCAGGGCTTTTTTGATCCTGAGCTTTTGCACGTTTACCCTGTGTCTATATGGGTTTCCTCCCACTGTCCAAAAATATACAGGTAGGCAGATTGACTACACTAAATTGGCCCTAGGAGTGAATGAGTATGTAACTGTGTGCGCATGGTGCCCTGGTGTCCTGTCCAGGTTGAATTCTCACACCTTGCTTCCAGTGTTCCGAATAGGCTCCAAATTCACTAACTTGTTGAACGAATGAGTTCAATGTATGTAAAAACCAGGCTTTTCTAGGTATATTAAGTCATGGCACGGGTCAGAACACAGATTAACAAAGACACACATCCATTGTCATCCATTAACTACTTGAGGTAGATTAGGAAAACAATAAAACATAACAGGATCGCAGGAACATGATTGCAAGTCTCAAAAACTTTACAAACAACACAGAGAAATGTCTTATAACGAAAAACAGGAAATCACAATGAGCAAAGGTCACGATGTGGTGGAAATAGAGCAAGGGAAATCTTTAACTATGTTTTAACCATTAACCCATTTCATATCTTTCCAAATGATGCATTATGCAGTGTTTATAATAACCACTAGGGGATGCCAGTGTAACGCACTGAGATACAATCAGCATTACAGGAGTTTGCTTCTACCCATGAATTTTAAAATTTATACAAATCAGTTTATAAGTGAGGAAGAATATACACCACACAGACATGAGTAATTGATGGTTAAGAGCCTTGATCAAGGCCCTAGAAATGTATTTGAACTTAGGAATTTAACTGCTAAGATGTCCAGAAATTCTGAGTTATAATCTACATTCCAGTTATTTTTCTTTGCTTCATTTTACTCAGATGTTCATTCAGTGTCTTGTGCTGGGTTCTAAATGACCAGGGCATACGTTTCCAAAAGCATGGTTATAATGAAAAATAAACCATACAGAGTACATTCATTCTTTTATCTGAGTGGGTTTTTGTCATTGTCGTCATGTTTTTTTTTATTTGTTTTTTAAAAATAGATATGTTGGAATATAGCTGTTTCGTATAGGCCGTACATGCGACTCATGTGACCCACCAGCTACAAGGTCTTTATTTGGTCATGATCATTGTGCTCAGTGCAATCATACACTTGCACTGGTGTGTATCTTTTCCATATATCAGCTTCCTGTCCCTATCTGTCCAATGTTCCCCACCACCCGAGTCCTTGTTCACAGAAAGCTTCAGTTGTACACTTAGATAAGCATCATAAAAATGCCCCTTTGAAGACACAGACATTGAAAATGGGCAAAGGCAACTAGAAAAAGAAAATCAAAATGCGATTAGCCAAGGATAAGACAGTCTGAACCAAGGGGAGTAACCCAGGAAGAAGCTTCACAAGTTTTCATCAAAGAAAAAGGGCAAATCTTAGATGAAAGAAATAAAGCAATGCCCTTTAAGGCACAATCAGATGATGAGAGGACTCCAACTAGGAATTATGAGATTGGTGAGAGAGAGAGAGAGCAAGCAAGCAAGCATATGAGATGATTCCCCACCTTCAGTTACATATCAGTTCAGTTGCATATCTCAGTTTACTCACAGCACCCTCACTGTGGTGTGTGTGTGTGTGTGTGTGTGTGTGTGTGTGTTCAGTAGATTTGCTGTATATGTGCTGTATATGAACAGCACAGTACCTGAGGTGTCACCATCTGTTACATATATTAAAAAAAAAAAAAAAGAAGGGGGAATAAAAGGAGTTGGAGGTTTTTTTGGTTGTTTTTTTTTTTTTAAAAAAAAAAAGTTTACATTATATGTTTTGCTAGAAAAAAGAAACTGTTAATCAAATGCTTAGTTATTTTATTAATAATAATGAGACCTAAATAATGCATGTACTTGATTTATATTTTCCTAATTTCCTACACACCATGCAAACAAAGCATCTTCCTGCTAAAGTGAGTGTGTGTAATGAATCATGGTTTCCAGAGTTATAGTCAACACAGTATTACCAACTCTTTTTGTCCATCTCTACCCCCTTCTATTGGTGGAAAGAGTTCTTGATACCATTTACAGTGCAGCTGTAGCACTGACATGTATGGTTTGATTGTTTGTTTGTTTGTTTTTTGCACTACTATGATTTGGAATCCTAGATTAAGAAAGTTAAAATCCAGTATCCAGTCAACAGCAGTCCTGTGGTCAGAAGATGATGCTGATGAAGGTTTTAAACACAAGGAACACATACTGTGCTTAGAAAAACATGTTTACACCATGTTTCACCATGTTTACTCTGATACACTCACACTGATACTCTTGTACCAGCATTATACACACTACCATGTCAGTGCTGTTGCAGTGTTGAGAATTGTATACCCTTCCAAATAATATCTGCATATTAGTGGTGGACTTTTTTCCTTAATGGACAGGGTACATGGGGGTGGCCAAATGGAGAGATTGGCTAGATCTTTATGATAGTTGTATCTGATAAAAATTGACAGTGAGTATAGCCAGGCAGATGTGCTAAAGAATACTGATAACTGAGTGGGTCAAACTTTATCATATTCTGTTTACACTTGGGGAATTACTTTGAGCACACCAGTAAATTATTTTCCTCATGCTTTTTAAACTACCCCCTCTACCCCCTTTTGTGAGTGGTTCTCCGTCTGTCTGCGGCCCAGTGAAGAAGGCCACCTCGTTTTCCGACACAGCGAGAGACAGCTCACACAGGGGCCCTGGAGGGGGGTGCTTGTTGGCACTCCAGGAGGAGCACCTTTGGAGAGGGTTCTGTTTCGCCCTCGCCGGCAGATGGTACTGTGGGGCGGCTTCTGAGTGAGCGCGTGCACCTGACTGAACTGTGTGAAATGGACACGCGCCTTTTGTTTTGGTTCATTCTCTTCCTGTCCAGGCATTGGCTTATGTCCAAGGTTGGGTTTTTAATTGCCCCAGGTGCCGATGCTTTAGTTTGTTTGTGTTTGTCATTTAAACCTCTCGTGTGGCTGTGCACTGGGTGCAGTATTAATGTTTAACGAGTATTCGTATATGGTCACGACAGTAGCTGAATGATGTTTTCCTGGTGAATACATTCGTGAAGCGGTCTTATTTCCATGCCCTGTGCTCATGCAATTCCTAAACTTAATGTTTAATCTCATTAACCTTGATCAGTATAGACCGCGCTCCCTGTGTTTTGTCTGCTTGTGTGTGAATAAACACCTTGCTCCTGCACTTACTTCCTGACTGTAGTTTTGTATCGTTACATACCCAAAGTGTCTCTAGACAAATAAGATGTCATGTGGCATGTATAGATAATTATATATGAAAAAGAGGCTCTAATGTATATATGTGTGGTGAGCCACAGCCAGAAGACTTTTATCTCATGTATACAAGTGAGCAATTGAGAGTCCATGCTCTAGAGCCCAGCAGTGGCAGCTTGCAGTCCGTAGTTCGACATCTTATCTAGCTCAGTAGCATGAAATACAAAGAGCCACCAGTTTTTACAACTTCACTTATGGTTGGAAAAGACATCTCATATTCCAATTACTGTACAAATATACCAATCTGGGGCGCACGGTGGCTTAGTGGTTAGCATGTTTGACTCACACCTTCAGAGTTGGGGGTTCGATTCCCACCACTGCCCTGTGTGTGCGGAGTGTGTGTGTTCTTCCCATGCTGCAGGGGTTTCCTCCAGGTACTCCAGTTTCCTCTCCCAGTCCAAAGACATGCATGGTAGGCTGATTGGCATGTCCAGAGTGTCCATAATGTGTGAATGGGTGTGTGGATGTTATTGGCACCGCATCCAGGGTGTACCGCTCCTCATGCCCGATGCTCCCTGGAATAGGCTCCAGACTCCCCTGCGACCCTGTATAGGATAAGCAGTATAGAAGATCTTTTGAAGTGCACATCAACTCCCACCTGGAGTTTATGAGAGTCATTATCACTGGGTGAAGACTTATACTCCTTCACTATTCAATACTAATATCAGATAGGAATAAAATCTCAATTTGTATACTACTCCTGCTCTGATGTCTGTCTGACTGTGTGCTCTTGGAGATGTACATCAGCAACATACCCTAAAGAAGCCCTTTGTGTAACTAATGACATCTATTCACAATTGTCTGTAGAGTGATTGTCAATGAAAAAGTCACAAAAAGGACAAAGTGTATGAAGCTGGTAATATCAATAACGCTAATGGTGTTCCTGATAATGAGACACGTTGTAAATGGACCTCTGGAGACGACACAATCAAGACATGAGCTTTGCTTTAAATAAGCTTTGCCACAGTCTACCTCCTATGTTACTGGCATACAGTATCTTCATATTTTTACTGTTAGCGGCCTAAATCAAACAGACATGTGCATGTAAACATATACAACCTCACTAGTGTTTAGACAGGCAGGTATGTCAGCACCGCTCAGACTGCATTTGAAATAAAGTATAAAATCAATCAATCATGGTTTGCACTTAGCTTATTCTATTTATAGTATCTAATAGAATAACGTGGGCCAACTGTGACACATTACCAGAGAGGACACATTCAATGCAAATCCATTTATGTTCAGCTCAAAGTCAGCATGCCTGTCAAGTCTAGAAATAGGTATAATAAAGCTTATATTTGGTTTATGGTAATCTTATAATAGGAAATACTAGACAGAATTGACTATATTCAAGATATTGTCACTTGCCAGGTTGTCATTTTTTGCAGTGTATCAGACCTCCAGCTGTGCTCCATCTGCTGGAGCTTCACACAGCGCGTAATAACAGAAAGGAAGAGAGGGAGAATGTAGGAGAGATATTTGTCCATGTTTGTAATGGCAGCTTTCCATCAGGATGAGAAATGAATGAAAGGCTCGTCGAAATGCGTAGGGAAGCTTGGCTTGCGGGACCACTGTGTCCATTCATTAATCCTTCATTAAGACACAGTTTCAGCATTGAGGTAACAGCAGGAGCAGCACCAACACCAGATGGCATGTGATCTTCATGGATAGTGCTTCTGTTTTAGAGGCTTGATATTATTCACTAGGTCGATCATTAATAGCAATGCATCTTGCTAGTGCTCGTTCCTTAATGTAATTGCAAATTTAATTGTTTTACAACTGCACAGCCCATTTATTTCTGTAAGGCAGACGTATTGCTCTAGGCAAAGGTGCTGATGTTAGCCATTACGATGGCACACAGGTTGCAGTCTCACAAGACCAGGCCATTGCTTTGGACCTATAGTCATTCAGGTGCATATGAAAAGTGACACAGGCAATTTGCCTCCCAATCTGTCATGCAGGTACTGGCTTTATGACCAGCAGGAGTAAGGCCTCAGGGCTCTGGTATGAGCCACAGCCCCCAACACTGCTATATAGCCATGAGACCAGCACCACATTATTCTCTGTCCTCCTCCATTTGACAAACCTGGCAATTGTGTGCTAAATATTCCTGTGAGAGGCCCATAGAATTGATTTCTCGTTAATCTGGGTTTTTGGTTGTGGTTCTTCAGAGAGAAGCTGCAGTGCTGAATAGTGGATGGTGACATAGTGCTGATTTTAAATTCTGTTAACTAATATGCTGTGCTTTCTCACAGTTAGAAAACTAGTTAGTGTCCTTTTATTACTAACTAAAGTAAAAACGCCATTTTTAAAAGCTGTGCACATACTGTGGAACAATTCTTCCTTCCTATGATTTCTTTTTCCAGCAATGATTCCTTTGCTGATGTTTGTAAAGTAATAGTTCCCATGTAGTGCATTATATCAATAATCTCACAAAACCATCTACAGCGTATTTTTTCAAAAAAATAATTTTAGATAGATAGAGTGATACAATGGGGGAAAAAGTATTTGATCCCCTGCTGATTTTGTACGTTTGCCCACTAACAAAGAAATGATCAGTCTATAATTTTAATGGTAGGTTTATTTGAACAGTGAGATACAGAATAACAACAAAAAAATCCCAAAAAACGCATGTCAAAAATGTTATAAATTGATTTGCATTTTAATGAGGGAAATAAGTATTTGACCCCTCTGCAAAACACGACTTAGAACTTGGTAATGACTTAGTAATTACTTTTAATTTTCAATGCCCTGGCTGAGGGAAGTAGGTTCTCACCCAAGATTTGACGGTACATGGCCCCGTCCATCGTCCCTTTGATGCGGTGAAGTTGTCCTGTCCCCTTAGCAGAAAAACACCCCCAAAGCATAATGTTTCCACCTCCATGTTTGACGGTGGGGATGGTGTTCTTGGCATCATAGGCAGCATTCCTCCTCCTCCAAACATGGCGAGTTGAGCTGATCCCAAAGAGCTCCATTTTGGTCTCATCTGACCACAACACTTTCACCTAGTTGTCCTCTGGTGGTCAGATGAGACCAAAATGAAGCTCAAACAAATAATGCATGGTGCTCTGATGTGGACTAGTGTCCCATCCAGAGTGTCCCATTCCTACCTCACCCACAGTGTTCCTGTGATAGACTTGATCGTGACTGATCGTGACCCTAACTACGATAAAGCACTAACTAAGGTTGAGTAAATGAATGCAATGTAAATTAAAGTATAATGATTACAGTAAAGGGTTATTATTTTATTGTGCAGCTACATGTCTGCGGTTACTACAATATGTTATGTACATTTTGATACCAGTATTTTATGGTACATATTAAATATTTTTATAGTGCAATTTATACTGCATCCAGAGGAAACAAAGTGAGATGGAACTAATGAGGGCATCAGTAATATTGGGTGTAGATGAATAAATATAAATATCGCAAAAAAAATAAAAGAAAAAGCATTTCTAAAGAGAGACAGAGGCAGGAGGAGAGATATCTTTAGCAGATGAAAGTCTTTAGTGTGACAAACAAATACTGCATTATACTTACTATAAATAAGAAAGAAGCCTTTCAGCAAACAGCAGACATGTAAATAAAGGACTCTGCACGCTTGATATAGCTTGGCATTTGCTAATCTATTATATAATTGCGAATACATTATAACTGCTATCTAAACAAGAATGCAGCTCAACAGGCTCCACTGCACAAAACATTTAAAGCTACTGAGCTTCTGCGTTAAATGTAGCATATATATGCATTCAGCTATATTGCACTGCACTGTTCAAATCTCCAGAGTTTTCTGCAAGTGCTCAAATGAATTACGTATTGTATCTTGATTCATTACTTCCAATCTCTTAGTAGGCTTAATCCAATTGGAAAGCTCAATCTAATGTATTTGAACAATCAATCTAATTGACTAAGGCCTGGAAGTCAAACCATATAAAACTTGTTTGTAAACTGGGTGAGTTAGCAAAGCAATAAAAAAGGGTCTGTATGGGAGTTGTTAGAAATGAAGTATATCTGTATTATGTTAGATTTCTCTGCTCTAAACAACTCCAGGTCTGCACCACACCTATTCTCAGTGAACTCATTTGTTCTGAAATACATAAAGCTACGGGAGAGTTCTGGGAGTTATATATACTGTGATATGAATGTTTTCTGAATGTTGGAAAAAAAATCTCTGAAGCAATCATGTTATTTGTTTGCAACTGTAAAAAGGCGATGCTGAAGGCTACTAGCTCTGTACACAGTTTTTAGCATCATTATCTGCTTGAATTTCCATTCAATCATTCATCCTTATTCTGGTCAGGGTTGTGGTGGATCAATAACCTTTTCCTGGGTTCGAGGTAGGAATAAACCCTGGATGGGACACCAGTACCAGTCCATTACAGCACCATGTGCGCACACATTCATACACCCATTCACACTTAGGGGCACACTTACAAATGGTTCGGGTAATCTCCCTACCTGCATGTGTTGGGTGATGGGAGGAAACCAGAGAACCAGGAGGTGTAGCCATTTGAAGGGCTATTTTGCTCAATGACCTTCCATTACTTTACTAAAAATATTCAGGACTGAATCTACTTAATCATAATACGTCAGCAGGGATTACAACTATACAACATCATAACTCACTATGTGTCATGATTCCCCCGTACCACAGCACTCAACGCGCACTGTTGCACATGCGCGGACCTCTTCCTGGTTGACGTCAGATTTTCGTCTCGCCTCGTCAAGTGTTATAGGGCATTGGGTCACGTGTGTTTGGAATCGCTGGCAGCTGCTAGCGATTGCTGGCTATTGACTGAGACATCTATACATACCGTTGAACCGCGGTTCAATATAACGACTTATATAGCGACCTATAGAAAGACATATTTATGTATTGTTTTGCCATGTTTAGCGCTTATGGAGCGTTCCAGTTTCATGCCATGTTTTAGCTCAGGAGTTTTGTTTCAAGTGTTTTGCTTCGCACTCAGCACTGTAAATAAAAGTCACCGTTTCACTGCGATTGCATCCTGCCTACTTCCTTCCCGTCACGCCTCGTGACGAATTGAACCGCCGGAACCATGGATGCAGCACGAAAACAGAGAGGACGCCGAACCCGGGAATCCATGCCCAGTATCCCCGCCTTGGATTCTATGCAGTTTAAACTAAAAAAAGTATGAAATAATGCCAGATCAGTATGATGGATTTCACGGGCCTCCGGATTATTTTGTGGTGGACAGTCAGTGGTATTTCTCTAGCCTGTGTGACCCGAAGCCAACCGAGAGCCAGTTCATTCGGTTCATGATGTCCCGATTTTTTGGCCCGGCTCGCACGTGGGCGCAAC